AAAGTCAAAACTTGGTGAGCAAGTTGGCAAAGCTTAGTGAACAAGTTGGTCAAAGCTTGATGAGCAAGTTTTAATTCTGAAGAGTCTAGAGAGTTAAGAACTTGTAGAGCAAGCTTTGACTCTTAAACTTGGTGAATAAGTTAGTGATTTGCCTATAAATAGGCTTGGTTCCCCCCCTTAGTTACACACATCACCTCTTCTTCCTCACATCTCTCACTCTCACACCATCACGCCAATCATCTCTCTCTCTCGCTATTTGCCGCCGTCGACCGCCGTAGACGTTTTATTGTGATTATAGGTGATTATAGGTGAGTGAATTCCCTAACACTTGGATTGGGCGGTGTGTTACGTGGTTGGAAAGCGGCATGTAAGTGGATTCCCTAATCTTGGGATAGGAAATTATGATGCGTTGTTGGCTTGAGTTCTCACCCGAACCTTTGTTGAGACTTGCGTGTTGTTTGTCTCGATGTTGCACGCATCGCTTGTTACCATGCTTGATGTTCTCATCCATGCTTGTTGATTTATAAGATGATAGTTACCGTGTCTATGATGCTCAATGTTTGCATGAATGCTTCTTGTTTTGCTTCATAATCGTAAGTTAAGGCACGTACGAGTCACGAAACGAGGTATCGTATGGTCTCATACTCATGTTGTGGCGTCACGGGACGAGTTCAGATTGGTGCGGGTTTACATTGAGATGTGTAGATCCTGGCCAAGTTCGGCTCCGAGCCAGCGCTTGGCATGGCGGACCGAACCATGTGCCCTCGACCGTGACCCGCATGCTAGGCGAATGTTCTAGAAATCATGATTACACAAGCACGGCACGCCTTTGGACTTGATTGCATGGACTAATGAAATCAAGATAATACACCGGCTTGTGTGACCCATGATGTGTGATCACTAAATGAAAGAAGAAGACCGTCGTCACATAGCGTTGGCGGCGATGCCTCAGTAAACTAGCGCCGGGATGCCCTAGTTGAGCTAGGATGCCTAGGTTGAGCCCGGATGCCTTGGTAAACTAGTGCCTGGATGCCGTAGTTGAGTTAGGATGCCTTGGTTGAGCCCGGATGCCTCGGGTGAGCTAGCCCCGGGATGCCTCGGTTGAGCCGGGATGCCCTGGTTGAGCCAGGATGCCTAGCATGAAGCTGGATGCCCTGGTTAAGCCAGGATGATGATAAATGAATCTTATATGTATGTCGGTATGTGTATTTATTGATGCTGCACGTATAAATTTTCTTGTGCATTTCTATGTGACCGGATAAAGGTGAGTTTCCATGTGAACATAACAAGGGCGAGGCCAAAGTCTTTGCTATTGATTTGCCATCGACATAAGGTGGGGAAAATATTTGTATGCATTAGTACAATGGCGAGGCATCATCCTGCACGAGTATTAGTGAATTTACTTATTGAGTCTCCCCGACTCATCCCCCGTTGTTTTCCCTTTTCAGGTCCGTAAGATGGAGGATGACATAGAGGAGCTAGGATTAACCTTGGCCTTCGTTTGTGATGTGGCTTGTACAGGGGGCTTGTAAAATATGTTTAAGTAAAATGGCAATAGTGTGTTTTGTCTATTATGCTTTCCCTGGTTTCCGAGGGTAAGATAAGGATGTTACATATTAATACAAGGTTTGCTCATGATGTTTGTCATAACCCCGTTGTTTGTTATGATTGTGATTGTCCCAAATTAATTGCTTCCGCTTGTGCTTAATAACAAACGGGACGTCGCACTAATAACCCCAAGGTAAGGACGCTACAAACGTAGAGTCGAAGTAATCAGATGCATGCACGTATAAATTTAGCCGATATCCATATTGTTGCTCTGATGATATCCAAGCAATGATTATCACGATATTTGAACAACAAGAAGTAAAGTTTGAATAACATCGAGATTATAGATTTTTCTTCATGATCGAAACATTCAACCTTCAATAGATTGAATCTAAATAAGCTTCTCTTTACGAGTAGTTACCATAAGAAAGACACTACTATGCAATTATCAGATTCAAAACAATGGACAGTTTTGTTAGTTTCAAAATCAATTAGGAGGTTTCTCAACAAATCTGACATTAAATGATTATAAGAATCTCTTGTTTTCTATTTTAGCCGACTATGCTTTGATAACTAGGATTACATGTGCAAAAGATTGCAAGTGAGGTGATCTTCGATCAAAGCTAAGATAACTAATAAAATGAGTTGCAATATTTCTATTATTTTTCGCTTTTTGATTCTCTTTATGTTGCGGTCAGGTTGGTGTAGTAATCTCCTTGTCGTCCTCAAATATAAAATCAGTAAAAAGTCCTTATATGCAGTAGCAAGGCAATCATCTTTTGATTCTCTTTCGTTGAGCTGAGCAATTTTCATCTTTTCTTCTCGAAAACCAATTGATTTACTTTTTCTTAACCCGTTTTTTGGTTAGATTGTGTCCGGGCTAGTTCGCACGAATCTCAACTACTCCATCTCTTTAAATGAATAAAAAATAAGACAATCCCGCTCCATCTAGGGGATTTCACAAAAATCAAGAAAACCCAGTCCTCGTTGCCTGTCCTATGTTGTTACTTACCCAGAACTTTCACCTTTATCATGCTAGTCAATTGATGCATTATTTGCTTTACCATATAAGCAGCATATCAAATACACAAATGTTCTCGAATTGCCTATGTTTCAAAATGGCTCCTACACTTATAGAAAATGGCACCGTAATTTAATTATGCTCTCGCATAACCTTATTAGCCTTACTCGTAAGATTTCGTATCCTACCCAAGGTTAGTTGTAATGAAGATTAGTCCCTCCGCGGAATGAAAAAGGAAATGCATAACATCTCGTCTTAAGTTTGCAACAATAAGAAGGCTTCTTCAGAACAGGACATATAATGGAGATAAGACTGATTATTTGGTCGTATTTTGGATGCTATCCATACTAAGATGAATCAAATACAGTTAAATCATGTGACTCTATATCCAAATTAACCAAAAAAGAAAAAAGAAAATGATGGGAGATATGCCAAAAATCAGGCCAACATGTAAGAAAGCTTCTTCTGAACAAACCACGTAATGGAGATAAGATTCATTATCTTGAGCTTGATCAAGGACGGCCACAAGTCTTGAGCTTGGCCCACAAGACGTTAAAATGGGATGAGATATTGTCTTGTTTGAGTTATGTCCGTGATTGGAAGCTGAAATAAGAATATTCTTCGTCTTAGGCTTCTGTCTGATCCTCTCCTACCTCGTTGTCCGAGTCATGGTCAGCTGAATATGAGTTCACATTCATAAGTTACCTGATGACAAAAAATACTAGAGGTCTTGCTCTGCTTAATTTGATTTGATAATTAAGCTGAGTTTTGTGCATCTGAGGATATGACCACTGTACATGGGCTGCTTTGTATGCTTCTGAGCTTACTTTTCATTGTATAGTAAAACAACTTCAATCCTACGACTATCTTAAGTAAAATGTGATACTCATATAAATTAATCATGTGCTAGGAACTCGATTAGCCGTGTCAATGTTGATACATGATCCATTACCAATAAATGGCATTTTTTTACCTAGATATAGTATTCTTGATTCCAAACTCTGCCTTATGTAACGTTGCTTGAGTATGATTAACCTCTTATTTGCTTTGCATAATAACGATAAGTTATAACAAAAAATCATATAAGTTATATTTGGCAATATACTGATATTCCCTATAGGCATTATATATAAATATGACATCCAAGATTCGTTGTTGCATTACCTATAGCTTCCTTGTTGGTGGCAACTTTATGCAAAGGCAGAATGTAGTTTTTCGAGGAGCATCTTCTACTTCTAATAGGACATGAACCATAATATTAACACGAAACGATCTTGCAATTAAGGCAGTGTGAAATCACAAAAGAAAAAAATGATGAATAATAAAGAATACCAAAGATTTACGTGGTTCGATCCAAGTGTTGATATCTAGATCCACGGGAAAAGCTGGCAGCAAATAATTTACTATAATCGGAAAATCAAAATTTATAATCGCTCATACGCTTGAGTATTTTTCACAAATAAATTATACCAAAACTTAAAATATTTACAAATAAATAACCCATTTGGATGTAAAATCTCAAGCACAAAATCGTGTAATTAGATCTCTACCTCGTGCGACTCAAAGGGGTCCTCTCGTCGGCTGTCTTCCCTTGTGTGCGGGGCTCGTCTCTCAAGGAACTCCCTCAATCCTTCACTATGCGGTTACAATAGGCTAGAGGGACAAACCTTGGATTTTCCTTTTTTCTTCCCTTTTATCTCAATAGCTCCATAGGCCCACATGCTTTCTTTTTGTACGCCTAACAAATAATAGGCAACTAGCGCACTTCTTTGACCGTGGAGATATGCTATCCACAAATAAATATATAAATTATGGAATATGTGAGCTCCTTTTTGTCTTGTAGTGGCGGAGGGTTCTCCTTCTTCTCTGTGCGATTAATCATCCAATTTGAGTCTCGTCTCGTAAACGGCTCAAATTCGAAATATAAATTTAACATAAACAAGACATTTATGTTTGGAAATGTGAGATACATTAATTTTGTTGTATGTTTGAGTTGTGATATAGGTGCCAGAAAAAGGATAGGGAGTTCCAATTGCAATTTTCTTAAGATATATTGAATTATCAATCATCATATTTCAAGTCCAACCTCACACTAATAACATGCATATATTCGGAAACCTTTATTACGTGAAACAAGAAAAACTAGCAATTTGCATAAGCAAACCGCCTAGCAATAGACGTTATTGGTGCAAAAACAAGAGAAATAATTAATTGACTATCATTAATCTACTGTAAGAATAACAGTCTGTTATGGATCACAAAAAAATAACTAAAAAATAATTATAAATGAGATCCACTCATTCAAAAATTTGTGTCTTACAACATTTTCTTACTCTCACAGTAACTCAAATGCTCTTATGCTAGCAAAGGCCAAAAAACAACTATTTAAACAACCCCAAATCTCTCATTTATTCCTCAAGAATTCAGCAAATCAACAAGATTTTCTAAGCAAACACCTTATCATCCACTCTCTCTCTCTCTCTAAGAGAAGTCAAGTCACTGAGCAACGTTCTCTGAGAAGAAAAAAATGGGTTTTGAGAAGAAAGATCTGGATGTGGTGCTGGTTCCGTGTGGCTTGCTCATCATGTTCGTGTACCATTTTCATCTCCTCTACAGATACCTCCATCAGCCTCACACCACTGTCATGGGGTTTGAGAACTTCAACAAGCGCTTCTGGGTTCAGGCCATCATGCAGGTCAAATCTCTCTCCTTTCAGTTTAATTTTAGTCCACTGTACTTTCCTTGATCAATTGATGATTGCCCAAGAGCGCAATCAAATTTAAAGTCCCCTGATTCCCACACATCGGACTGTCAAAAACTATAAATTACCATCCGCACCGTCCTCTTATTGGTCGACCTAAATGAGTAAATGGCACGAAATTCACGAAAAGGGTCTTTGCCAAAAGAGCCGAAACTTGATCGATCCAGGTGCTTGTGCTGTTTCTGTGCCACTTATGATCAATCAAAGCTCAAATTATTAACACAATGCGATCTAGTAGGGTGACAAGAGGGACATTGGCGCGTGCCTCGGGGTGATCTCCTCCAACATATCAGCGGCGACGTTCCTGGCCTCCATCTTACTCACCCTCTGCTCCATGATCGGCGCCTGGATCAGCAACACCAACAACTTCAAGAGCGACCTCATCTACGGTGACACCCGGCCCTCCACCCTCTCCATCAAGTACATCAGCCTCCTCATCTGCTTCCTCCTTGCCTTCGCATGCTTCATCCAGTCAGCCCGGCACTTCGTCCACGCCAATTACCTCATCAGCACGCCGAGCCCAGGAGTCCCTCCAAAGAGCGTCGAGGTGGCCGTTATCCGAGGCGGCGATTTCTGGTCCATTGGGCTCAGGGCACTGTACTTTGCTCTGAACTTGCTTCTCTGGTTCTTCGGACCAATACCCATGTTTGTTTGCTCCATTTTCATGGTCTTGTTCTTGCACTACCTCGACTCAAACACGATGCCATTGATTGAGCACGAGTTTGATGGGAAGCAAGTAGTGAAGAAGGTGGAGCAAAGGGTTTCTGAGATGGCAATGGCCATTCACATGCCTTCGCATCAGAATTGACCAGGCCTGATTCGTTCGCGTACATCTAGGAATAGAAGAACAAGGTTGGATTTTTTTGACGAAGATAGGCAATTATAAATTGCATTAATAGTAATACAATAGAGAGTATAAGTGTGGAAAGGTACTTTATTGTTTATAGTATCAGCTGTTATTTTCTCAATCGGCCATTATCTCGAGAAGTTTATGGCGGAATGTCCTCAATATTGGTAGAATTACTAAAAACTCTCGACAGTTGCTGCTACAATCTCTATAGAAACCGTTCGTAGATTATTTAGTTAGCAATTGTCACAAATCAAGAGTTCATTGTGTAATAGATTTATGTACTATACGAGACTTTGAACGAGGATTGCGATCAAATGCATGTAATTTTAGCGGGATATGATTGAAACAAAGCATAGAAGCCTCCATAAAATTACTTACACTTTTGTCCCAGCCAAAATTGCTTATTACTCTACGTCGAAGTTGAGGTTGTTGGACTAGATAAAAGAAAATTGAACTAACAAAACAATATTGAGCCAATATTATCTTTTACCTAATGAACACATGCATAATTCTACTTTTGAGAATACTCCATATATACTTGGTTTTTACCTCTAGAGGCCACTATGTACCTTCATATTAATTATCTTCTTGTCCTTATTTACGAAAATGTCAGTTTCTTTCTTAAAATTAGCCCATCCCCGAATCCTTAATTCTTATGCCCACCCAAAACACTCAAAACCAATTAAAACCAAAACGACACAAACCCACGACAAGATGTTAAAAGTGAGTTCACGCAGCAGGATAATTTGGTCTTTTTCATTGTGGGGTCTTGCTTAAAGGCATGTGAATGGTATTTCGAAATTATATGTGTGTAAGTGATCATTGATTAGAACATGAAGTATATTTTCTATATTCTATTAAACAAATCTAATCTTTCACCACTGTTGACCGCGGTTAGGGGTCGGAGTGGTGTGGGGGATTTAATACCACATTTCATATGATATCTGTCATTCGGATTAAGCATAATGGTAGTCCATCCAGTATTGGTTTAAAATACCAATAAATTGGTAGTATCTTGGAAGAGGGAGATGAAAAAAGAGAGAACTAATCTTTTACTTTTCTTTTCTAAATCTGTTTAATTAGTTTGGTGGGACGTCTAATTAAGAAGCTTTCTAGCATACTGATATGCTATAGTGAACATACTCTTCATGCGGTGATCTCATGCAAATTAAAATATATGAGCTAATCTGTCGTAGTCCGACTGTTCTCCACGTTAGTGAGGAGAAGCAGTCTTTGCAGGAGTCCCAATCTCTTTCTATTATTGTTCACGCTTTTGAGAAGTTAGCTGCTTGGGTATAAAGTTAGAGGAAAGTTCTATTATAGTGTATTATTGGGAGAATTACTAGAGAAGTTTTTAAACCTATTATATTTATGTCAATTCAGTGCTAAACCTTTTACTTTGGCCAATTTAATCCCACACCCTTTGACAATTTACCAATTGAGTCATTCCAGTCAATTTTGACCGAAAATCACTGACGTAGAAATTTTTAAAAAGAAATTCTGAGTTTTTTTATCAATTTTTTTTATTTTTTCCTTCTTTTTTTTCTTTTTTTCTTTTTCTTCTTTCTAAGCTCAGCAAAGTTCAGCTAGCGACCCTCACCAACCACAAGCAAGGGCCGGCAACCCTCGCTGGCTACTCGGCAAGGGCCGTGAGGCCCTAGAGGGTCGGTTCCCTCGTCGGCCGCGAAGCCCTCGTCGACCGCGGGCTAAAGTCGTGGCCCTCGCCCCCGCGACCAATGAGGACCGAGACCCTTGCCCGTAAACAATCGGGGCTTTGTGACCCTCTCCCAATTGCCAGCGGCGGTCCCTAGCCTTGCCTGGGGTTGGTGAGGGTTGGCCGGTGACCCTCTCCGAACTTTGTAGAAAGAAAGAAAAAAGAAAAAATAAAATTATAAAAAAATTCCAAAATTTTTAAAATTTTTTAAAAATTGTCCACGTCAACACCAGTTATCCTACATGGCACTATCGACGTTCACGTCAGCAATTTTTGACCAAAATTGGTCAAAAGTACTAAATTGGTCAATTGTCAAAAGGTTTAGGATTAAATTGGCAAATTGTCAAAAAATTTAGGACTAACGTTCATTTAGACATCTAGGGCCCGTCTCCCATATCTTCGAAAGTAGGTTATTGATATATGCTAACATTTATCGACAACTATTCAAGGAAGGTATGTGTATACTTTCTAAAGCACACATATGATGTGTTCAATCAGTTCAAGAAGTCTAAGGCATTGATTGGGAAGCAGTCTGATAAAAAAAATAAAATGCCTAAGAACCGATAATGGCATGGAGTTCTATGGTAAAGATTTTACCAAGTTCTGCAAGAGAGAAGGGATTATAAGGCACCGCATAGTACTCGGGACACCACATCATAATGGCGTAGTAGAACGGAAGAACAGAACTTTACTTGAGCAAGCTCAATGCATGCTTTCGCATGCAAGACTAGGTAAGGAATTTTGGGTCGAAGCAGTGAACATGGCATGTTACCTGGCTAATCAATATACTTCATTTGCTATCGAGTGGAAGGCTTATGAGTAAGTTTGATCAAGGAAACCTGTTGATTACTCTTGATTACGAGTATTCGGATCTCCTGTGTATACTCATGCTAGTGATGGTAAGTTACCTGGTATGCTCATGCTAGTGAACATGACATGTTACCTGGTTAATCAATATACATTGTTTGCTATCAAGTGGAAGACTTCTGAGCAAGTTTGATCAGGGAAACCTGTTGATTACTCTTGATTACAAGTATTCGGATGTCCTGTGTATACTAATGCTAGTGATGGTAACTTTAAGCCGATGGTGAAAAAGTGCATATTTCTGAGTTATGCACATGAGATGAAAGGCTAGTGGCTGTGGTGAATTGATCTCGGATCACCCGATTTTCTAATCAACAAAGACGAGATCTTCGATGAGACTACAATGCTTCAAAGGAGGAGTCGCAAGACACAACCAGCAGAGCAGACAGATCATGGTGTCAGTAGAGAGGTGGAGCTTCAAGTGGAGACTTCGAAGACCTTGAAGGAAACCCAAGTAGAGACTATAGATGAGGCCACTATTCCTAAAGTCGGTGATACTAAACAACTAGTATAGCCGCAGCACATTATGGCCACGGGTAGACAGAGAAGGAAAATTAAACCGTTGGTATGTCATGGTTATATAGACATTACTTATGCATTGACCGTAAGTGATGAGGTGGAGATAGATGAGTCTTCATCTTACTCTGAGCAATAGCTAGTAGTGAGTCATTGTAGTGGCTAGGGGCTATAAGTGAAGAGATGGAATCACTCTACCAAAATTAGACATAAAAGATGGTCAAAGTACTCAAGAGCCAAAAAATTGTCAGAAGAAAATAGATCTATAAGCGAAAGGAGGGCATTCCCGATGTCAAGTCAGCTAGATATAAGGCGAGATTTATGGCGAATGGGTATACATAGCAGGATGACATTGACTACAACGAGGTGTTCTTTCCTATGGCAAGACATAGTTCTATTTGTGTATTACTTGCTATAGTTGCTACATGGATCTCGAGTTTAAGCAGCTATATGTGAAAACGATGTTTCTTCACAGTGAGTTGGAGGAGCGAATTTACATGAGACAACTTGAGGGATTTACTATTCAGGATAAGGAAGAACATGTTGATTTGTTAAATAAATCTTTATATGGGCTAAAACAGTCTCCTAGATAATAGTATAAGCATTTTGATACTTTAATGTTTAACCAGGACTATTCGAAAAGTCAGATGAATAGATGTATTTACTTTAGGAGATTGGATGATGGGTCTTTGATTTATCAATTATTATATGTTAATGACATGCCGGTAGCAGCTAAGAATGTGTACGATATTAATGTGTTGAAGAGGTAGTTAAATGGTAGTTTGGATTGAAAACTTTAGGTTCTGCAAAGAAGATATTAGGTATGGAGATTTTGTGTAACCTAATTGCAAGAGTTTTACATCTGTCTCAAAAGAAAAATATTAAGAAGATTGTGGCACTTTTTAACATGTAGTCAGCGAAATCTGTGAGTAGCGAAGCACTTTAAACTTTCTTATAAGTTATCATTGCAGAATGAGGAAAAGGATGAGGAGCATATGTCCTATGTTTATTATTCTAGTGCAGTGGGTAATATTATGTATGATAAGGTATGCACTAGGCCTGACATTTCACAAGCTGTGAGCATAGTTAGCCATTACATTAAGCATCTTGATAGAACTCAATAAGAAGTTGTGAAGTGGATCCTCAAATCTTTGAAGGGAATAAAAGATGTGGGTATAGTGTACTGAAAGGGCGACAATGGCTGTGAGACCATTAGTTATGTAGATTCAAGCTAGTGACTTGGATGAGTATAGGTCTTTAGCAAGGTACACGTTCACGGTTGCAGGTGGTGCAGCTAATTGGAAAGAGTCCTTATAGGATCACGTTAGCTTATCTACAAACGGAGTAGAGTACATTGCACTAACCTTTATAGCGAAATAGATGATATGGCTAAAGGGTTTACTCTCGGATTTTGGGTTAGAACAGAAAAGTATTGATATACACTGTGATAACCAAAGTGCAGTATATCTAACATATAATTCGATTTATCATAAGCAAACAAAGCATATCGACATCAGGTACCATTTCATTTGAGATATCTTAGCGAAGGGTAACGTTGTTGTAAAGAAGATATGGATGGCGGAGAACTTGGACGACATAATGACGAAGCATGTTCCTTTGGCAAAGCTCAACCTCTACTTGAGCACAATTGACGTCTTTAAAAAGTAAGCGCTTGTTGGAGCTTTGGGAGAGCAGCATGAATAATGAGTACTATAACTTGGCTTTAAGCATTGAGTTATGGTGAAGAATTGTTAAAATATGTCTCGAGTTTAAATCTATGTACAAAACCTAATACAAATTAGATGAGGAATGATGGCCATTTCGTAAATATCCAAGTGACTTGGACTTCTCTGTTTTCTTAAAAAAAAAAAAAGGAAAAGACTTAACCTTTGGTTGTGTGTGGGGCCAAATGAGGAGGAAAGAAAAAAATAAAAAAAATTTGGCTTTTAGGGTTTTCTTTAGCTCTAGCCTTAGGTCATCATTTTCTTGGAGAGAGTGGCCGCCTGTGGTTCCTTGAGAATTGAAGCCGCACGGTGAAAGGATGGAGTGGTTCCTTCAGCAAACTTGAAGCCGCACGCACAACGAAGGGATTTCAAGGGCCCGTTTGATAATGTGCCAAACAGTGAAAATT